GTCCTGCAGGCCCCACCCTGCTCTGCCCTGTGCCCTCAGCCTAAGCCCCCCGTCCAGCCACCGCTCCCACCCCCACTTCTTGCCGAGGAGCATGGGGCGGGGGTTGGGATGGGACCATTAGATAAAGACTAATTCATGCCTGGCCCCCTCCCTCTGGACGGTGTGAGCTCCACTCAGCAGCCATGGAGGCTTGATCCATCCATCATGTCCCCATCTGTCAATCATGGGAGTCTGGAACTGATAATGGGGCCAGAGAGGGGTCACCTTCACACTACTCAGGGCTCCTGGCCAGCCTATCCTTACACAAGTGATCTCTCCTATGGAGATGGGATCTTTTCTCTAGCTCCCAACCCCACCCCCACCCCCAGGTCATAGCTCCCTAGGGCAGGTCTCCTTGGTCTGCAGTGACCCCAGGAGTGGAGTCCTACCCTACATAGTAGGTGCTCAATAAACATTAAATTACTATCTTGCCCATTAAGAGGGGAGAATCCGCTGCTGGCTTCAGTCAGTGCCCCCAAGATTCAGGTAGATGGGAAGAAGGAAACTGAGGCACAAAGAGGAGGCAGGGTGGCCACATGCTCACCTGACCTGTGCCAGGACGGGTGGGATGGAGGGGCAGACTGAGCTGAGGGCCAGACAGAAACTAGGTAGTGATCTTTTAATGAGCTGGCTTGCCCTGTCTCCTCTCCATGAACTCCTGGTCAACCAGCCATGGAATGAGTGGGGAATAGAATGTGGGTGGGAGCCAGGGGCTAGTAGAGCTGAGCTGGGAAGTGAGGGCTTAGGCTGGAGGCTCCACGTGATTTCTAAGTCTCAGGATCCACTATCGTAAGGGTGTAGCTGGATAAGGCCAGAGAGTGAATCCCAGCTCAACATCCTGGCCCCCAGGGAGTGACCTGCTCCTTCCCTCTTTGCTCGCTCAGTTCTAAACCCTACCTCCAGCATTCATCCATCACCCAGCCTTGTTCCTACCTCAGAGCCTTTGCACTTACTGTTCCTCCTTCCTGAGAACTCCTTCCCCTTCATTCAGCCTGCACTGCATGGGTTCGAGTCTCAACCCAACTCTACTGCTCTGACCCTAGCGAACAGCCTCACTTCTCTGCTCTCTGTGCTCAGTTTCCCTATCTGTACGATGCAGGTGGTAATACCGGTGATGACACCAATCACTAAATTAATGAGAATCTACCTAACTTGCTTAGAACAGCACTAGGCATATAGTAAGGGCTAAACGGGTAGTAATTCAAGCCAAAAAACGTTTATTAAGTACCCTCTGTGTTCTAGGCCCTGGGAATATGTCAGAAAACAAGACAGACAGAAGTCCCTGCCCTCAAAGAGTAGATATGTATTCTGGTGGGAGAGCAAGGCAGATGGTGCAAAATAAAGGGGGCCGGTGAAGAGTAATCAGGAGGGCTTCTCTGAGGAGGTGTCCTTTAAGCAAATCTTAAAAGCAGTAAGGAAGCCATGCAGGCATCTGGGGTGCTCCAGGCAGAAGGCACAGCCTGTGCAAAGGCCCTGAGATGGGACTGTGCTTGGGGCATGAGCTAGGATTATGATTACTTCCCAGTCCTGAGACTTTGGAGATCTGAGGTGTATCAGCAGTTTAGGTCAAATGAACAAGTGGAGGCAAAATCCAGGTTGTGGGGGTGGTGCAAACCGTCTCCAAATTTAGCAGGACCAAAGAGAGTAATCAGTTTTAAGGGAAAGACTGAGCAGCCATTGCCAGCTTCTTGCACAGAGGCCAGCAGAGAAGAAACCAACTTTAGAGCAGGAGAGATTCAAGATGCAGGGGAGAATTGCCAAACTGGCCATGAGAGTCCGGGGCCAAGACAGGAAGCCCAGCCTGGGATTCTGGTCCAATGAGCCAGATTTAGCTCCCAAGCCCACCAGGCTCCATGTGGAAGTCTCTGGATTCCAACTGAATTCTAAGAGTGCTTGGTCCAAGTCTGGACCCAGCTGCCCGGCACGTGTCCACTCAAGTCCCCAGGGCAGAAACAAGGGGCTGAGCCTCCCTCTGGCTCCCAGTGCCCGGGGTCAGGCGGAAGGGTAAGCTGCCCTTTGCCTTAATCGGCGAGTTCCTGCCTTGGGCAAACACAAAGCCAGGAGTGGAGGATGGAGGAAAGCAATCAAAACAAAACAACACAACACAACACAACACAAAACAAACAACACATCCTTATTCGGAATGCGTTGGCCACCTAGGGGGCAAAGGAGCCACCAAGGTGTCAGGACCAAGGAATGTGACTCCGAGGCCAGGAGGCCTGGAGAAGAGGAGGCGGGGAGCAGAACAGTCCTAACATGGGCCTGAATCAGGGTGTCCCTCGCGTCCCCAGTTCCGCCGCGGCCGCCAGGTGACCACGGATAATCGCATTCCTCCAGCCCCGGGGCCAGACTGAGGCCCACGGGATCTTGGGATCGGTGGTAACAAGGTTAACAGGCGCCAGACCCCACCCTCCATGGCTCCCAGGCCCCCGAGAGAGGGAAGAGAGGGGAGGGCTGCTGGTTCACCCTCTGCCTGTCCCACACCAGCGGGTACTCACCCTCCTTCCTCATGCCCACCCGGAAGCACTTCTTCAGGCGACAGTATTGGCACTGGTTCCGGTGATGCTGGTCGATCTGGCAGTCACGGTTAGACCTACAGGCAGGCGGGAGGGTCGCCGTGACACCCACATCCTGCTCCCTGAGCCACCCCGTAAGCCACCGTGGAGGGCTACGCCCCAGAAATACCAGTGGCCCCCTACCCCAGGCTGCGCAGGTATCCCCACAGGGGCACAGGGGCTAAGCCTGCAGAGGGGAGAAGGGCAGCTGGGAGCAGGTGGCGACGAACGGAGTCTATGGCAAAGGAGAATGGCCCGCTCGGGAGGGTGTGTGGGCACGGGGTTGTGAAGGCTGCCCAGAAGTTAGTTCCCCAGAACGGAGAGGCAACTCCAGGCAGAGAGTGCACAAGAGCAAAAGGTTGGAAATGTAAAAATACCAAAGCCCAGTTTCATAGTTACTTGCTCATTGCTGGCCCAAGGGGTGGGGTCTTTGTCCCAAAGGCAATGTCAGAACGGCAAAGGTACGCGGACAGGGAGCCGGGCTTTGTGAGTTAACTAAGAGACGAGGGGCCAGGCCAGGGCCAATCCTGGTATGGGCACAGTAGGGCCCCAGTATTATCACCCCGCACAAGACCACCATCAATGAATAAATGAATGAGCGAACGAACGAATGAACTCCTCTCTTCCCTTGAAGACCCCACACCTCCTCTGGGAAGACCTTCCAACTCCCAGCTGAGCCTGAGAAGCTTCTTCTGGGTGGCCCTCAGGCATAACTGCCGGTTCCAGGGAGGGGAAGGTGGCCCCGCCTTGCAAGACCGTGAGCTCCCCATCCAGGGTCAGTCCCAAGCAGGAAGGTTCAGGCCCTTGTTTTTCAAATTTCCCCAGCACTTCCTCCCCTTGGCCCCCAGCCCCTGCGCTCCTTCTGTGTCTCTCTATCCTGGACTCAGGGCTCTCCAAGGCCCAGACCTGGGGCAGACACCCCTAGCGTCCCATCTGGGCACCAAGAGGATACCCGGCGACAGTCACAGAGTGAAACAAACGTTCAATCGAGTTGAAAAGCAAACACATCTCAGCTAAAGACACGCAGCCCCAACCATGGGGCGGCAACTTCTCCGCCAAACCTCAGTTGCCTCGTCTGGAAACGGGAGGCCCGATGCCCACTCCACGTGGGATGCACTGTGTCTGGGGGAATCTGGGGGGCCTTTGGGGAGGGCATCAGGACCCAAGCTCACGCTGGAGCGCTTCAGTGGCAGGCTCAGGAGAGCTGAGGCCCTGGGGGTCTCCAAGGACCCAGATCCCAAAGCACCAGCTTCTAAGCCAGGGCCTCTGTCTGCTGCCTGGCCTGAGCCCCCAGGAAGAGGCCCTGGTAGGGTGGAGGGAGCTCAGGCAGAACCAGAACAAAGCCCAGCAGGCAGGCAGTGGGAGGGTCCTGGGCAGCCGGGTGGAAACAGCTAGGCCTAGGGCAGGCAGGCAGGGGCCCAGCTCAGGGCCCCTGACCTCAGGGGAGGTCCTGAAGCTTCTGCCTCAACTTCCCCAGCTGTGGGGTTGGGACAGACGTCCTGTCCCTCCAGACGGGGCAACGGTAAGTTCCACCTGTTATCCCCCCACTAAAGAGCACAGGCTCTGCCCAACCCCATGACCCCGCTCAGCCTCCTCCCTGGGCTTCTGGCCTTTGGTCCAATTTGATCACTGCCCTCCCTTGCCCACATACCCTCCTTGGTTCCCTGTCACCCTCAGTCCAGCACTTCAGATCCACTCAGCTCTAACTTCTCCCATGCCTGGGTGGTCTGCACCTACAATGCTGCTCCCCTAACCTGCCACTGAGTGTGTGTCTGGGCCATGCTCTCTGCGGGAGTGCCCTTCACCTCCTCTACCTGCCAAGCCCCTCCTGCTTCAAGGTTCACCTTCCACGGGCCTCCTCCAGGCAGCCCTCCCTGAACCTCGGGTAGAGCCCCTCGCTCCGTCCTGGGACTTCAGACCCGTCCCCTCCCTCTGGCCCAGCCCAGACTCCACAGGCAGAGAGCGTCTGTGTCTCACTGTGTCTCCTCCAGGCTGGAAGAGAGCTGGGATTGGAGCTGGGGTCTCTTTGGGGGACTGGCATCAAATCACCCAGGCGAGGCCCTGAGGGAACCTTGCTGAATCTATCTGAGGCTCAGAGAGGAGCAGTGACTTCACCAGGCCACACAGTGCAGAGCTTCTGAAGAACCTGCAGGCCCCAAACAACTCCTCCCTCCCCTGTCTTGGTGCTCCCCGCTCCCACCCTCAGAGAGCCCCTGGGACCCTAAAACCACCTAAGCTCCTCCCTTGCCCTCCCCAAAGACCTGGCCAGAGATCAGGCAGTTATTCCAGCAACAAGAATGAGGCCAAAGTCTGGTGGCCCAGTTAGCACTGGAGGAGGGAGTAAGCCAGCTCACACACACACACACACACACACACACACACACACACA